CTGCTTTTAAGATTCCCTAGGAAAGTCCTGAACATACTATTCCCTCCACTTTTAGGGATATATCCTTATCTACTTGAAGTTCTTCCTTACACATTGGAGGTTATGACACACATATAGAAGCCAGAGGTCTCTTCTTGAGCCTATGATATATTCTTGAAACATCTGTCCCTGTACTTACTCAGATAAGATAATCAAAACAAAGTAAACTTAAAAGGGACAACAAGATTCAGTGGGCTAGAGGGGTTGGCCACAGTTCAGAGTATAAACCTCATTCCACTGTATACTCAGACAATTTTGTGGCACACAACTTTGCTCTTCACAGAGACATATTGATGAGCAAAATATGGAGAGGAAAGATGATAAAAGTATGAGGTGTCAGGACCTCCCTTCCTTAGAAAGTTAGCACATGCAGAGCCACTGTGATGTCATATGACCAAGGAACAACAAAATCTAATCCTGATTAGATATTGGCGTAATTATTAAGGCCACTCCATGTAGTTAAAAGGGAGGTTTATTTAGTGGCATAACTTACAAATGAAGGGATAGGTAGGTTGCAGGGTCTGGGAAAGACGTAGTGCAGTCCGGCGGTGTTCTCTGGAGAACTCTGCTTGGTCTGCCTCCAGCGTCCAGGGTCCAGGAACCAAGAGAGCACAGCGCATCCGGATCTCGGATCTTCAGGGTCCTCTCTTGGCCCCGCCTTATAGGCGTGACAGTTACTGAAGCCTCAATGGGGTTTGGAACTTCCAGATCAAGGTTGGAATGGCTACCCACTACAATTAGACATATAAACAAATTCTATAAAGATATAAACATTGTGTTATGCCAGAATTTGAATAATAACTGCAGCAGCTTTGGCCTGAGGATTTTTCTGGGGCACTCTGACCACTAAGAGTTAATAATACACTGCTTGGGACATGGCAAAATGCCCGGGGTGGCTTGAAGATTTTTGTTTTGGTCTAGCATCCTTGAAGCAACCAAAGCTACCAGCCTGAGAACAGGCTGTCATATGCCTCTAGATTCTTAAAAATTGGGTTATGGGGTTAATGAGTAAAAATGATAGCTCTGTTTATTAATGATGTCAAAATTTGAGGGAAAATGATTGGAAATGATAACTCTGTTCTGTCATAGTTTATTAATGATGACTAAAAGATGAGCAAAAGGAAGTAAAACACATGTCCAAAAACAAAAATGATATAATTTATGTTTTAGAACATCATGAATGTATCCTTTCTTGCTAAATTTTGTATAAGTAAAGTAGCATTCTGGCGGCTAGTCGGGCTGCAAGATTCTCCTGACCACCATGGCTTGGCTCACTTCCTTCCCCCACCAACTCCTTATATTCTCTGTTGGGACCCGTCCCACCGGGGATGACTCCCGTGTGCTTCTTCTCTCTCCATCTCTCTAAAATGAAACTAAGAAGTGTCCCATGTCTTGATTCCTCTGTTGCCAGTCTTGCCTCCACCCATCTTCAGACCCTGCCCTCATCCAGAGCTGGGTTCTGGCAGGAAAGTACGTGTTTATGTCACAGGTCTATTGAGACAGTGCTACAGATGAACCTATGTCTCCTGAGTAAATACCTGTCCACTTGTTCCTCTTACGCAGGGGAAATGCATGATGTGGGTTAGCCAGCCCTGGTGTTCACTTGATGATTTTCCTGTCTCTTTGTGAATCCCTGCCTATCAGCAGAGTCCTAACCGGCACAGCTGAGGTCTCAATTCATGGAATTTACGCCATCTGGAAATGAGCTTTAAATTTTATTCCCGTGTTGAAATTAGGGGTGTGACATAGCTATTAGAAGGGACGCTGTGAGTCTGAATTTGATTTTGTTATGTGGAGGTAGGATGCTTTGTTAGAAGGAAAGTGCTTGCCTGGGGAGAGATGGGAGTGTGACTGAACTGTTAACTGCCCTCTTTCTCCCTTTTAAGCAGGAGACATATTTTGTTTTTAAATGAGATGACAAGCGAGAGAATTATCAAGACGCAGTGAAATTTAAGAATCTCCTTTCAATTTTCTCAAGTTCCATTTAACCTTGCCTCTGATATCATTCTGTACATTACTGTCAAAAGACCAGCTGCCTTTGAAGTCGGGAAGCCCTGCTGCTGGCAGAGTCATGATGGTAAAATATAAGCAGGTTTGCAGTAGAGTCCTTGCTGATACACGGTGATGCCTTATTATGTGCGTAAAAGCACGCGCGTGTGTGAGTACCTAAAGACCCAGAGTGTGGGGGGCGGATATATGATAATGGACACTGAGAGGGAGAACTCATCTCATGAATTAGGGATGCCCTTTCATAATTCATGAGTCGCAGGCTGAGGAAAGACATGAAATCACCTGAAAAGCATCTGGAAGCAATCTGTAATTTTTAAGAGGCAGCCAAAGAGCCTGTATCCCTCCAGTACATGATGATAAAATTGTTTGTGTGGGATTATGGAGGGAGTTACTTGATACTAGCAAAACTTTTCATCGTTAAATGCCCCAAGATTGGATTATGAGGATACTTAGCAAGCGATTGATTGATTAAAGTGAAGAAGGTGGGCTAGGATTGTTTTCTTTGCATGTGAAACATCTTTTCACTCCAGTCTTCACACAGGAGTATTGCTTGTCTTTACCAGAGTGTGTCCAGTTTTGAAGATTAAAGTCATGTTAATCCCTTTTCCTTTTGTTATAACCAAAGATAATACATTTCAGACTTTGAAGCTATCTGTGTATAGGTCAAAAAACACAATCTCTTCGAGTAAGTTCTAGGATGTTGTCTTTTACATTGGATTATTGCAGAAAAATTATGATATTATTGAGTGGTTTCCCATCTGGGTCTTGGAAAATCCTTAGCATACAGAACTATGGAAAGGATGCATTTGTTCTCTGACTTGACTTCTTAGCTTAACCTGTCTAGAGATGGGAAGTATTACACCTAATACTAAGAAAGACTTACTTCCTCCCACTGCCTTGTTCATGAGTAGCTGTGGTCATATGTAATTATAGCCCAATACCCATCTTGAGCTGCCTGCCTGCTTGCTTTGTTTGCCTTCCTTCCTTCCTTCCTTCCTTCCTTCCTTCCTTCCTTCCTTCCTTCCTTCCTTCCTTCCTTCCTCCCTCCCTCCCTCCCTCCCTCCCTTCCTCCCTTCCTTTCTTCCTTCCTTTTCTCCCATCCATCGTGTGTAGCCCAGGCTGACTTTCCATTCCTGCCTCAGCCTCACTAGTGCTGGAATTAAAGGTGTGTCCCATCAGAACTGACACTTCTTTTTTCTCTATCATATGAATGCCATTTACTCACCTTATTATAAACTCAAAAGACTTAATAATAGCGGACAGAATTATGTGAACTAAATTATTGTACTAACAGATTTTTGTTGACTGTCACTGGGCATTTAAATGTTTTCCATTATTAAAATTTCAGTACTTTGTTTTCTTAAAGAATTTTTCCTTGTATATTTTCTCCAGCTTTTCATCCATTGTGATGTTGAATAATAGTTTGTGATTTTGCCTTGTCTTTACATTAGCTTTTGCCTTCCATACCTCCAAGCCTTTGGGCGTGGTTGTTTTAGATAGTCTTATTTCTATCTGTATACCTCCAGCTCATTCTGTTGTGCAGTAGGGATGGTCATGTGTCTGTGTTGTAAAACTCATCTTTTTGGTAGGCCTGATGATAGGAAACATATGTCTAAGAACAAAGTAGACTTTGGCCAGGGGAGGGCAACCAATAAGCTTTGAATTTTTCTTCTATCCATAGGTACTAGGGGACATTTTTTTTTTTTTAATTAGGGTTGCTTCCATGAGAGTGGTCATGTCATGCCTGGGAGATAGCATTTCATAGCACATCTCTACATCCTCAGGCTCTTACAGTCTCTTTGCATCCTCTTCCACGATGTTCGTGAGCCTCAGATGGGGGTGACAGAGATGTCTCATTTAGGGCGAAGCACTCAACACTCATTCTCAGCTGTTTTGCTGGTCATGAGTCTCTGCATTAACCATTGACCACTACAAAAATAAGCTGCTCTGACCTCTGGTTGTAATGGTTGGGGATGTTGTAATGGTTAATCTTATTATCAGCTTGGCCTAGAACCACCTGAGAGAGATGCCTCTGGGCTTGCCTGTGGGGATTATTTTGACTGGGCTAATTGAAGTGGAAGACTCACCCACTGTGGGCAGCATCATTCCTTGGGCTGGGGATTCTAGACTCTGTGAAGAGAGTGAGCTGAGCACACGCAGTCATTGCTTTCTGCTTCTCGACTATGGGTGCAGTGTGACCCGTTGGCCCCTTGAAACTTCTCTTCTGTGACTTCCTCGCCATGATGGACTGTGTCCTGGAACTCTGAGCCAAAACAAACCCTTTCTCCTTGAGGTTGCATTTGTCAGGGTATTTCATCACAGCAACAAGGAAAGTAAGAAAGACAGGTATTAGCATAAATATTTGAAGACCATTTGACAACATGTCCATTTAGTAAAACAACAATAGTATGTTCCCCTACTAAGCCTATTACCTCCCTAGCCGTGGGCTTTTGACTGGGTCTACAGTACCAGGCATGATCTTCCTACTACGGAGTGGGTCTCTAAGCCAATTAGAAAGCAGTTGGTTAACCTCAGAACCATCACACCACTATTGTACTAGTGGGCACATCTTATTGGCAGGTCAGTATTGTAGTACATAGGATCTACTCCTGGGTAGGACTATTGATGACTTTTTACCTCAGTGGTCCATCTGCATAGCATCCTCTGGCATTATGAAAGATAGCCAGCAGGGAGGAAGCCTGCTACTCAGTTCCAGCTTAATTTTCCCATGCTCCACAATTGAAGTGCCCGGTGTCTTCAGTAATAGGGTCTTACCATCTAGTTCAGGTGGGCTACCAAGAACGACGATGCCTCTGAGACCTCCCCATACTTTTTATGATAAAGACAGAGGTGATCTGAGGGTAATTCACCCAGTACACAAATGGGAGAAATGTAGATTGGAATTTGTAATTTATTAGTATTACTGAGGCATTATTCATTCTTTTCTATAGATTTTGAGTCTCTGGGGGTTTCCTGACAGAGCCAAATGTTAGAGAAGTCCTTCGCATTCCTCTGCAAGGTGAAGTGAACGAATACAACCCGAGAGTGTGTGGAGAAGAAAGGCATTCACAGGTAACGTCCTTCTTACTGTTAGTTTGTGTCAGTCGGGAGTCACCTGGGAAGAGGGAACCTCAGTTGAGGAATTGCTTTAATAAAACCAGACTGGCGGGGTGGGGGTGGGGCGTTTTCTTGATTAATGATTGATGTGAAAGGGTCCAGCCCACTGTAGGTGGTCCCATCCCTCATAGGTAGCCCTCCATTATATAAAATAAGCAAGCCATGGGGCAGAGCAGTAAGCATTGCTTTTCTGTGGTTTCTGCCTCTCGGTTCCTTCCCTCAATTGATGGATTATAAGCTGTAAGATGAGGTAAAACCTTTCCTCCCCAAGTGGCTCTTTGGTCATAGTTTTTATCATAGCAACAGACAGCAAACTAGGATATTTATGTATTACTATTGGTATGTATCCAATAATGTTTAATAAACCATTTTTAAAACCAAGCCTACTTAAACATCTGCATACCTAGGTGAACATTACCTTGTGCAAAGCAGTTTTGGAGAATTCATGCTCACTGTACTACTCAAAGCATTCATAAAACATTCCTTTGGGAAGTGCATCCCGGACTCCCATGGCATTGGTTTAAGCATCCTGTTTTCTGTAGGAGTGTCTGTCAGCACTGTGACATTGTATTTGAAAGACAGGGTAAATGCCTGAGGGTAGGATGGTAAGTAGAAACACCGTGGTTTTGGCCAAAATCAAAAAGAAGTAATATGTGGCAACTAGTTTTCTCTTTTGTTGTCTCTGTGTGTAGTTGAATCCTAGGAAGGAAGTGTGTATTTAAACAATGATAGCATTGTTAAAATAAGGGATTAGACTTTGTAGTTTATAGAGAAACAGTATTTATTTGGCTTATAAATATTGTTCCTTCTTATTAAGATCAATCAATCTGTCATGATTCTAGAAATGTTCCTGTGTTAATCAAGTTAAATAAAGTGATATCTAAACTCTCTTACACTGCATACCTCTCAGGCTTTTTAATTTGCCTCTTATAAATGACTCCCTGCAGATGTTTTGGAATGTTTCTCAAAGTGTTATTAGAGTGCTTGTTAAGATACACATTAAAAGTTTCAAATTACAGGGCTGGGGTGCGGTGGAGAACATGCTTAGCATGAATGAGGCCCTGGTTCAATCCTTCACACACTCACAATTCAGATTACTAGCTTCCTGTCATGTCAGTGTGAGATGGTGGGCAGGTCTGGGAATCTGCATTTTATGAGTGTCACCAAAGATTGATACCTCTTGAAGAATTAAAACCAAACTTCTGCTCAATATTTGTGTGTGTGTGTGTGTGTGTGTGTGTGTGACACACACCCAGACATATATATACCCACACACATCTGTTTTATAGTTATTTACTTGATTTTTTTGTTTTGAATGCAGTGATTTATTATACTATTTTGACAAAGAATTGTATAAGATCTTATAAGTAGCTTATAAGATCAAATTGAAGATTATAATTGGATAAAATTGAATAAAACACTTGGATTTTATAGCTACATTTGAAAGGGATATGCTTTCCCTTGGATATAAATGGGTAAGTCTAGTTTTCCTCATCTCGATGCCACACACTAAGTTGTATTAACATCTGCTTTTCAAATGTCCCAGGAGATCTAGGGCAAAGACTAACAGGGTGTCTGCGGAGGCCCTGGAGTCATGCAGCACCACGCTGAGCATCCAGTGCAGCCTTTCTCTGTAGGCACCATGCTGAAGGTTGTGCTGTGGTTCTGCTTTGGGAAGACAAAATGCTTTCTTTCTGTTGCCCTGAGATCTTGTGAATGCTTCCAACCCTCCAAATGAAAGGAAATATTAACATGAAATGAAGCAGCTGCTTTGATAGGAAGCTCTTTTCATTATACTCCTGTAATTCTCGGTTCCATTATACTCTGGTGTTTTAGGAAGCACTAGTTCCCAGGGCCTAAGTGGAGTTAGTATGGTGACGGTAAAGAATGGCCACTAAGGAATCCTGCCAAAGATCTGTAGCCATCTCTAACTGTTCACCTGTCTAGACGTTGTTTGGCCTGTTCTTGCCTCTTAGCTTCAGTAGGCAGTTTGTTGAGAGAATGATTCTTAACAGTGATTTTGTTTGTTTTTTAACAGTCACACCCTAAATATTGTACTTTTAGAAATGAAGTGTTTTTTGTTTGTTTGTTTGTTTTTGTCAAGGGCAGGAGGACCTTGGGAAGGGCAAAGAGAATATGAGAGCAATTATTATACCAAATATCCGTATATATGCTAAAATCTGAGTGGGGATACCCAGAAATCAGAGGCAATGGCTGTGTGTAGGAGCGGGAGGGACTTGGGTAATGAAGGGCTCCCGCTCAGATGTCTCACTGTCTCCGGAAGAAAAGATAGCGGATACTGTACTGAAGGAGCGCGGCAGGAGCCACAAGTGGTAATGGATTTGAAAGTGGACTCTCTAGCTCCCGAGGCGTACGGCATAGAGCGCACGTGACCGTCCTGAGGAGATGCTGTCGGCCGAACCCATCTGCTATGAATTTTGGATGTTCCCAGAACAGTAAGACAAACAGCAAGCAGACAGAGGCAATTACAGCTGCTCCGAGCTGTTGAGAGAGAATTATGTACGTGAATATACTATTTCGGGGTTAAAAGCTGGCTACATAAGACAGCGGCGGTTATAGCCGCCTTAGAAAGCAGCCTTTGTAATGGAATGCTGGGAACGTGAGTCACGCAGAGTGGCGTGGTGATGAAAATTCCTCTGTGGCTTCTCAGGCTCTGTGTGGAACCAGTGGGAGGCTATTTTAAAAGATGGTTTTGAATAAAAATCTGCCCTCGGGAGTTGTTTGGGACTAGGTTTTCTAATAGCACCAAAGGGTCTGCCTGAATGAGTTATGGTTGGGTAGTCAGATAGCCACATAAATACTCAAAAGTCTGAAGTTTTAAAATTTTTATTTGTATATGCCTTCTCATAATCTCATGGGTTTGAATCTATATCCACTTTCTTTGTCGCTTTATTGTTTGTTTACCCACGTTGTCTCTTCACATAGTTCATGACTTTCATAATTTCATTCCTTGTAGTTCGGTTTGTTTCTAGCATTTTCCATCTCTTCTAATAGACTTGAATGGCTGAAGCTATTTCTGTTTGATCACATGTCCTGTTTACTTTTCTGGGTTTTGTTTGTTTTGAGACAGGATTTTACTCATTAGCTCAGGGTAGCCTTGAACTCATGGAAGTTCTCTCACTTAAGCCTCCCAAGTACTGGGATTCCAGGTGTGAGCCACTATTCTGGGTTCTTGTTTTATTTTTGGCATAGTTTTTGAAATCCTTCATCGTATTTAAGTGCTCAGGTCACACTCAGAAAATGACTCTAACATCTCTAGCAGCTCCACAACAGGAGTTCTCTCCATGTGGGCTTCAGGGGAGCCCTGCCATCCTTACCTGAGAACTTGTTAAAAATGCACATTCGGGTTAAATCAGAAACCCCTAGGGCAGAAGCCAGAAGTTTGTGTGTAACAAGCTGTCCTGTTAATTCCAGGGCCAGCTGGAGCCTGACAACTACTCTGGACACAGTTGATGTTTATGTGCTGTTGTTGAAGTCACACACTTGGTCCCCTGAGCAGGTAGATTAGGTGTTCTTAACCTTTCTGAGCTCATTTGCAAACTTAACCAAATCACCTCCAAAAGCAAAACACCAAAACCAGCAAACAAAACAAAAACCAGAACTTCCTCTCACACAGCCACAAGGATCAATAACCTCTGACCTCATGCCCTGCCAGCGGTTTGGTTGGTTTCAGATGACCCAGTTATCTGCAGTTCAGTCAGCTCTCCAAAATAGTTCTCATAGCTGTGGTCTAGAGGAGATAGTTATCTACCCTTCTCCTCCAGCTCCACAGCCAATGTCATCTAAATGGCTTCTTTGGGCTTGGTAACTGAATCCTGGAGGCCAGAACTTTATTTGCAAACTGCAGTTTGGATTATTTTTCACAAAAGCCAAATGTGTTCTGATTTCTTCCCTTGAAAAGTCTAATTTTTTTTTTTTTTGTATCTGTCTACCCAGCTTACTCTGTTTTTCTCTGAAACTTATCCTCTGTGGTAAGGCGGTTCACTACAAAAACAACTTTTTAACTCTTGTAGACTTAGAGGTTTCCTAAGCAGTTGTTGTAGGTAGTTCATGCAAATAGTCAGTTGAAACAGTGGTCCAGGGAATGAATGCCACTCCTCACTGCCCCAGCTCGTGGAGGAGTCTCCACAACAGTTCCCTAGGAGTGATGCTTTCTTCATCTCAGGATTATTCACCTGTTAGTCCTTTAGTTTTAAAGGACGTCCTCATTAGGACTGATGTTTGCATGTCTTTCTCTTGACTTTTGCATGTTTACATGTCGGTCCTTTCCCTCTGTCCATCCCATGACTAGAGGGGTTTTCCAAGCTGTTTTCTTTTCTGTATTTTTTTTTCTCCTGCACTGTGGTTGGAATCCGTACAAGCTAAGAAGGTATCTACCACTGAACTACACTCCCAACCCCCAGGTCTTGTCTTTTCTCTCCACATTTCACCTACAGGAACCGACACATTCTTCCACAGAGCCCATTTCTTTGTGTCTGCCAGGTCCTCCCTCAGATGCTACCTTAGCACTAGTCTTTATCAAGGTTTGTCCCATTCTCACAACCCTGTCCTCCCATTCCCACAACCCTGCCTCGCTGACCCCATAGTTAGCTGCCTACTAGGTGTTCTGGTCTTAGTGCACATCCAAAATGAAGCCATTTGTTCTCCCCCGAATCTGTGCTCCTTTTAGTTTCCCGATCTCAACAAGGGGCATCACCATCTGCCATCCAAATGTTCTAACACTTTCTTGTCATTTCCCACGTTACAGCCAGTATTTGGGAGCTTCTGGGTAATTCTTCTGGAAGTCCAGAGATGGATTCTCTTGTTTTTGCCATTTTTCTACAGGGGGAGAAACCAAATCACATACAGTCAAGTTATTTTCCTGTGGCCACAAAACCATTAGTGGAGATAGAACTCAGGCCAGACTGTCTCTGTGCAGAACACCTGGTCCTAAC